TAAGGATACCATGAGCAAAATCCAGAATGTGGTATATTCTACAGGAAAAATTTACCTAGTTTCAACAAATAAATGTTCGGATCCTAATTTAAATAAAATGTAAAAAAAACAACAACTGACAATTGGGGTAAACACTGGATATTTGATATTAAGAAATTACTGCATATATATACATACCTTAGTGTTACAACATCACTCCCTCACTAACTGGGCTAACTGGCCAGCCCATTTCTCATATTTTTAGGTGAGTTAATGATTTTGTAGTTACACGTTTAAAAGTCATCTTTTTTCCCCATTGTAGTGGATTGAATTATGCCCCCCCAAAACTCACAGAGGCTTGAATTTCTCCCAAATTTTATGTATTAGAAACTTAGCCCCCACTGTGACTGTTAAGAGGGTAGGGAAACCTATTATGGTAATTGAAAGGTGGAGCCTTGAAGAGTTGATTGGATCGTAGGACCATACAGTAGTGAATGGATTAAAAATGGTGGTCAGGGGCATGGTTCTGAGGGCTTTTTTTAAATTTTATTTTTATTGAATCAAAATTGGTTATACATATTTTTGGGGTTCAACATTGAGATATATTGATCAAATCAATGTTACTAGCATATATATTGTTACACATCATAATTATTCTTTATGCCCCTTGTCCAATCTCTCCCCATTCCCCCTCTCCCCCTCCCTCCTCTAATTACCCTAGATTTCTTCTCTCCTTCTGAAATAATAATGGTTACTCTGTTAACTTGTTGCCTAGATGATCTGTCCAATGCTGAGAGATGTGATCAGGTCCCCCAATATTATCATAGAGCAGATAGATGCTTCTTCTGTTACTCTGCAATGGGTTTTGTGGAAAGAGACATCCTCTTCTTTTCTTTGTCTCTGCTGGTGACTCTTCTTGTGTGAATGCACTCCAGTGGTTGGCGGACCATCTGTATGGTGGCTGTGGCGTCTAGCCGCTTTTGCAGCAGCCATGTTTATTGTGGTGGCTATGGTGGGCCCACATAGGTGATGTTTTTGGCATGCTCCTTGGTGCTGGTGGTGTGCCCGGTTGTGGGGGTTGTCTGGTCCCCAGATCTCTGCCTTAGGTCCCCAGGTGAGCCCCAAGGCACTGGCATAGTGTGCCAGATTGTGGGAGGGGGGTTCAGTCCCTGGCTCCATAACTCAGGTCCCTGGGCAGGCCCTGAGGTGCTAGAGTGGTGTGCCTGGTTGTGGGAAGGGTGTCCAGCCCCCTTCTCCATGCCTCAGGTCCACAGGGAGGCCCCGAGGTGCTGATGGTGTGCCTGGTTGGGGGGGGTCGAGTCATTGGCTCCATGCCTCAGGCCCCCGGGCAGGGTCCCAAGGTGCTGGCACTGTGCCTGATTGTGGGTGGGGTTGTGGACCCCTTCTCCATGCCTCAGGTCCCCAGGTGGGCCCTGAAGGACTAGCATGGTGTGCCTGGTTGTGGGAGGGGTGTCCAGTCCCCGGCTCCATGCTTCATGTCCCTTGGCAGGCCCCAAGGCACTAGTGGTGTGCCTGGGCTGGAACTAATTTTCTGTCCTTTGCTTACTTCTTTTTTTTTTTTTTTTTTCCCAGAAGATGACCGGTAAAGGGATCTTAACCCTTGGCTTGGTGTTGTCAGCACCATGCTCAGCCAGCGAACTAACCAGCCATCCCTATATAGGATCCAAACCTGTGGCCTTGGTGTTATCAGCACCACACTCTCCCGAGTGAGCCATGGGCCGGCCCTGTCCTTTGCTTACTTCTAAAACAAGGGAACTTCCTGTGGGAACCAAATACTTGAGCTGTGTGGTTGAGCTAAATTGCTGCTTTTCTGCTGTTTCCCTAGAGAAGGTTTTTTGTGCAGCTCAGGGTTTAATGGTTGACCTTATAGGTACTTCCCGCTCTCCAGAGACCAGGTGCAACTGGGTTGTGTAGAAACTCTGATCTGGGCCTGAGTTTTTTCATTAAACTGCACCCCATGCAATTCTGCATTCCCGACCAGTCTCTGAGTGGTCCTGTGCTGACTGGGGGGTTGATTGGCTGTCCTTGCTGTGTCCCAGTGTTCTCCCGGTGAGCCTGTCTCCCCCACCACCCATGCTCCATACACTTCCCATGGGATGGGCCTTATACCGGTCCCTTGCGATGACTCGCCAGCCTTTGAATGGCTCCCCTTTTACAGCTGTTCTGGCTCCTCACTCCTGTGTGGGTCCACAGGGACCCTATTAATGGTCTTGCTGTCCTGGGGTTCAGCAAGGTTCTCTTCTCCCCTGCCACCTCCAAGTAATTCCATCTGAAGGGCACAGTTGTGGCTTCCTGAGGGCTTTAAAAGAAGAGGAGAGTCTGTCTTTCTCTCTCTCTGCTTCCACCATCTTGCAGTGTGAGACCGCTGGGTCACTGTTGCCACCACCAGATGGACTTTGGACTTCCAAGCCTCAGAAACTGTAAGCAATAAATTTTTTTTTTCTTTGTAAAGTACCCAGTCTCAGGTATTTTGTTATAGCAACACAAAAAAGACTAATACACCCATTATATCATTTTTATCCAATAGATGTTAACCTTATATATTGATTTTTAAACACCTTGAGACATGATTCACATACAATTCACAATTCACATTCAATTTAAGATTACTTAAACTGTACAATTTTAAAAATGTACAATTCAGTGGTTTTAAATATACTCACAGAGTTTTACAACCATAACTATAATCAATTTTAGAACATTTTCATCACCCCAAAAAGAAACCCGAGTTTCTCAAATTTCCATTCACTCAAATTTCCTAATTGTCTCTAACTCTAGGCAACCACTAATTTACTTTCTGTGTCTATGGATTTGCCTATTATGGAAAAAAATCATCTTTTAGAGATACATTCTCAGGTATTTATGGATGAAATGATGTGTCTGGGGTTTGCTTCAAAATAATCCAGTGGTGGGCCAAGCCCGTGGTGCACTCGGGAGAGTGCGGCACTGGGAGCACAGCAGCGCTCCCGCCGCAGGTTCGGATCCTATATAGGGATGACTGGTGAGCTCACTGGCTGAGCGCGGTGCGGCCGGTCTCAAAAAGGACAAAAATAATAATAATAATAATAATCCAGTGGTACGGGCCGGGAGCCATGGGGATAGATTAAAATTAAAAAGCAAAATGTTGACAGTTGGTGAAGCATGGGGTTTCATTATACTATTCTCTCTGCTCTTGTATGTTTGAAATTTTCTATAATAAAAACAAAAAGGTCATTTATTATTATCTTATAATGAAAAGTCCCTGAGGCAGACATGGACAATATTGGTTCAGTGGCTCAAGAAGGATCCCATCACTGACTGCTTCTTTTCCATCTTTCTGTTCTGCCATTCTCAGCGTGTTGACTTTGCCTCCTGGGCTGGCTTCCTCATGTTGCTGGTGTGGTTCTGACTATCCCACACATCAGGTGTAGACAACACTGTCCAGAAGCAATAAAAGGGGGCACACAGATGTCTTATGTTCATTTTTAAGATGGAGGGAAAATTCCCCAGAAACTCCAGCTGAATCATTTCTCCTTGGCCAGAATGCCCTTGCATAATTCAATCACATAGCAAGAGGCTTAAGATTCCTTTGATTAGCTTAGAATCTCTCAAGACACTCCCTTTGGGACTTAGACAGATTCCAGACATCCTGAAAGTATTTGCAAATTGTAGGGACATGTTAGTCATGTATGAAATAAGCAAGTAAGAAGGTGATGGCTATTGGGTAAAGTCATCAACAAGGTCGGCCCCAGGAGGGTCAAGCAAGGAAGGCTGGTCACAGGAGCATCCCAGTCACAAGAGTACAATCCAGAAACTTGTGATGCCTGAGTTTCAAGCAGAGCCAGAGTGGTTCCCACCCATCTGGCCGATGTATTAAAGTTTCCTGTGGTCTCTCCCCTTGAAGAGCCAGGACAGGTCAGCCCATGGTGGGTCTCAGACTCCCAGCCTCACACTGCAGTGAGACTAAATATACAAACGATGGCCAGATCATATACAATAATAGCACTCTGACCCAAAACTTCTGCAGCGATAGGCCCCAAACAGTCAGGACTTGGTCTCTCACTGCCAGCTTCCTTACTTTTTGCCCTGTCCCATTTAGGACCAACCACGGTTGGTCAAATATGCTCCCTTGAGCAGTCACAAAGGATGACCAGCTTCTAGATAGCGTTCTTCCAACTTCCCCACTCAACACACTCCAACCAGGGCACACCTGAGGCCTTCCCTTTTTGTCACTATGAAGCTTTCCCACTCTCTTGTCTGCCTCTGACTCATCAGGGGATGGTGGCTGACGCCCTTGCCACAGCGGGCTGAGTAAACAGCTTTGGATTGTTCTCATCGGGCGGACTTCGTTTATTACGCCAGCAGGTCGAGGCGTTGGGAAATCCATGAGGAAATGATGGCTTGGAGCACAGTTCAGACACGAATCCCGCCCTCGATGCTGGCCATTATCTCCACAGCCCCAGCCACGGACGTCGGAGAAGGAGAACAACCGTCGCCCATTCACCGGGGGCCGAGAGGACAGGCGCGTCAAGGAGAAGAGCCGAAGGAAAGCAACTTTCTAAACCACATCACAAGCCCCTATCAAAGGAAACAGCAGTGTTTGTCACACCGCCAACCGGCTGGTCACTTCTGCCGGCGCCCAGACACCGCTGGCCTTGACGACGACGACGCCCGGAGCAACGGCAGCCCGCGCGCGGCCTTCTGGGAGTTGTAGTTCGTTGCGCCGAGCGCGTGCACGTCCACTGCGCGCCGGAAGCGCCGCCATGCCCCGGCGCGCGCAGGTGAGCCTAGTACCAACATTCGGAGCGGAGGTTCTGCTGTTAACTGAGGGAGCGGGAGGGGAGCACCGGGCCAGAGTGGCCCAGAGTGGCCCGAAGTGACCCGGACCGCGTCGGAGAAGGGAGCGGGGCTGGGCAGGGGCAGGGACCTGGTCGGGTCAGGGCCTCTCCTGCCCAGGGCTCCCTTCGGCCGCAGGAACAGAGAGGGCTTGTCCAGTCAGGGTCCCTAGGACCTCCATTAGCGCTGGGCTGGATCCGACCTTGTCTGAGGACCTCCTGCTGCAGGACCAGGGAAGGGGCTAATAGGGCGGGGGTCTCTCTGGCTGCAGGACCAGGCAGGGGGCTAGTCTGACTGAAGCTTTCCTGCCACAGAGGAGGTTCTGGATCGAGGGCTGCAGTGCCTTGTTAGCACCTAGCTGGTGTTGGGGGTTTCAGGCTCGCGTATGGGGACCCAGGGGCTGCCCACCCAGGTCTGGCCTCTCAAGGCTCCTTTCTCCCTCCTCAGTTCATCCCCCCGCTTCTCATCACCAGGAGATGCACCTCTGCAGGAGGTGGTGGCCAAGAGCATTCTGGCAATGGCACCAGGCACATGAGCCCTACTGCTCCCCAGAGGTCTCTCCAGTTCCAGAACGTGGACACGTTTTTTCCCCACTGGTACATGGACCTTGAACTCAGTTTGAAGGTAATGTGTGTGTTTTCCAGGTGAGCAAAGGATTATGGGTAGTCCAGGCAGAGTAAACAGCAGGGACAACCAGGGTGTTGGGGGCCTGCAGTGGTTAGGTGTCGCTTGTGCCCCGAGTTAGGGACTGGAGAGGTGAGCAGAATGGCGTGGTGTGTGTGTGTGTGCCCGTGTGTGTATCAAGGACGTTGCCCTATAAGTGACAGTCTGTGGTTCCATTTGTGTTCAGGCCAGACTTGATGGAGACCGTACAATGAAGAAGGCATGAGATTGGATTTCTTTCTTTCTTTTTTTTTTTTT